TATATTAAAGCTGTTGTATTTCAAACAGGAATTGTGTTGATTGACAGTTTGGATAGGCTATATGATAATAATTTTAATGCACTGCCTTTTCCTCGTTGTATATGGTGTCATAACTGCATGGGCAGCTGCCATAACCACCTCATAAACCACCTCGTTCGCTTCGCTCACACGGTGGTTTATTCGGTGGTTATGGCAGCTGCTCATGCAGTTATGACACCATATACAACTCGGGGCAGTGCATTAACCCTTTATTGTTTACTGTAGCAGACATATAGCCATGTTTCTAATATATGTCGGGACTTGAATCTAGTAACGTAGCAAGGTCATGGTACATAGCATGGCATTTGGCACCCTCTAAAATTGTGAAGCTCCACAAACCGTAGGTAATGATGTGTCTGCAGGAAGCAACGTAGATTGTATTGCATTAAAGGTACACATTGACAAAGTTGTGACACCAACCTCCTTGTCTTTATCCTCCGTCGCTTGTTTCCTAAGCTTCTTGCGCTCTCTTCTGGCCCGTTGGTTGGACTGAAAGTTGACGGCGGCGTACTCCAGCAGTGCCGCGAAGACGAAGAGGAAACACATGACCATGTACACGTCAATAGCCTTGATGTACGAGATCTTCGGCAGTGAAGATCGTGCAGCAGATGTCAGAGTTGTCATTGTCAGCACTGTTGTGATCCCTAAAGTACGAGATATATAATACTGTATAAGACCTTTGTTGGCCATTTTGAAAAGAAAAACTCGGCACTAGGTCTAAAGAACAGACCATGGCAAAGCTTCGACTGGTGGTTTCCAGTGGCAGTTAGACACAGGGCAGCTTAAGTGGCATTGCCTGATGGTGCAAGTTGCATAACCGGTATGACAATATTCTTGGTGTGATAAAGCTACTTTGACAACACGAAACATATTCCTTTGCCATAGATGGAAATCAGGTACGAAAATTAACTTTCAGTTTCCTTCAACGAACCGCAGTCACCTTTCTTTCAACATAATAGTATACTACAGATTCGTGCCCACGGGCTCTAGCAACTGTTATATTATACAACAGGCAATATAGAATGTATACTAACGTAAAAGTAATTAGTTCTAAAACCGCACGTATTTGCTGCAGTAGAGCAGAAGTCAGTGTTTCCACATGCAGACTGACCCTGGAAAGTTTTATTGCTCTGCAATAAAGAGGCATGAATATAGACAGCGAACTTTACATCTGATCTGATGGATGAGTGGGGGATATAGAGAGCCTATGGCAAAATGATTGAAAAGTTCTTCTAAGTGCAACAAAAGCCATGCCCCACCTACGTAGTAGAGGGGATACATCCTCAAGCTAACCGACATCTTGGACACAAAAACCGGTCGGGTGACATGCTGAATAAAAGTTCTGAACGGGAACTATGCGGCTCCGGATGTCTTACTGCGTGTGCAAGGTGTCGGTTAGCTTGAGGAATGAACCCCCTTTACTATTGCACCGTCAGGCAATGCCGCTTCTGCCAGCTGCCCTGTGTCCTATAGCCACTGGACATTCTTCACACGGCAAACCGAAAGTTGCAAAAAAACATGCCCCACCTAGTGTGACTCTCGCAGGCACGGACTCGTGGTTCACCCAGAAGGAAACCCAGGACAAGATGACCAGGAGGATCATGGGAAGGTACGTCTGTAGGATGAAGTAGAAGATCTGACGGTACAGTTGGAAGCTGAAGACCAGTCGCCAGTAGTTCCCTGCACAGGACACATCACATCCAACAAAATTGTAGCAGTTCGCAAACTTCATCCGCAAACTTCTTCAGAAGCATCCATATAATCTAATATGATCTGCTGATCACAGAAAACATATAGGAGGTAATATCTAATAAGCCTTTACTCCCAGCAAGCAATGAATTAGACCGAACAATGTTGATGCTGTTTTCTGGGCTAAAAGTTGTTATCACAGCTAGACGAACACTTCGGCTTCTGCACTGTGGTGGTTACGTTGGTATATAACGAATGTCCTGGCTCTTGTCCCAACACATCAGTACAAGTAACTGTACAGTACAGCAACAAACCAGCATTCTAGAAGCTTTGAGCTAAACCTATGCACGCATTTAAATGCTTCTAAATGAAAATTACACATGCCAGTCGAGGCTGTGAATCCCTATCATTGCCAGCTTGGTGTCAGAGTGAAGTCTCAATGTTAATGATTACGAAAAGCGGAAATTGCGGCTTTCCCTCTTTCTATCTCCCTGGAACACAAAGATCCTTTGAGCTTTTCGGGATGTCTGACACAATATTAGCAGTCTTGCTGCTTATAGTTAGAGATATGGAAACCACGGTTTGCGAGTAAATTTGAGAGTGGATAACCATCTAGCATTTACGTTGAGGCTTCTTCTTTGGAAGAAGATATAGCCCGTTAGGAAATGCATGTTACATGTAAGCTGCAAACTTCACATTTAAGTAAAATGCGGTTTGTTTCAGCTCAGGGGAAACACCCATCTGTCGGTTTGTGGAAACCCGGTGTCTAATGTAGATGGATCAGGTAAAGTTTCCCTCGTCTGTTCAGTGCCATCCGGACATTGCTCTGAAATGTAAGGGCTGTTGTTAATTGTACTAAGCCTACCATTTGGACACATTCCAGTGCACCCAACAATCAGGACCTCGCGTTTTCCTATGAAGTATAGATTACCCATGAATTGGGTTTCTAATGGACAAAGTGGTCTTCGTTCGGGAGATTAAAAGGAAAACCCTTCCGAGGCGCATCGCAGCCGGAAACTTGGACGGAAATGCCTCCTGTGAAAGCTACCACTCTTTTTGTAAATACATTACATAGACATCGGCTCTTTTTGTATGTCTTCCAGCCAAGCCTTAGGTTAGATGTCCACGTCAACTTTCCCGAGGCACTTGTTGGATGGGTCAAAAAGGTGAATGCCTTCAAAGGGAAAGACATCACCTTTGGGGTAATTCTAGGAACACTTTTCTACGTCTGACATGGAAACGTAGGAAACTATGACCTTTGGAATTTTTTTTAAACAAGGGCTATATATATATATATATATATATATATATATATATATATATATATATATATATATATATATATATATATATATATTATACGAATGCTGCCATTGACAATCTTCATCAATCATGGAACAACTTAAGTATTTTCATCTACTGCAATGGAGTGATTTTGTTGACAATTGTATTGAATCGCACATTACCATAACCTTGGCATTCAAGCCTACTTGACTACGTCCCTCCAACCGACTAATTACCCGATACAGTCGCGCGTTTCTAGAGATGAGTTTACTGAAGCTGTGCACAGACTTCGTCTCTGGGGATGTACTTTTCCTATTTCCTATCAGGGAGATCGTGTGGCCTCGAACTAATAATGCCAATTAAGAAAATGGGCTTTGGCTTCGGACGTACACTTTCGGGCGAGAGGCGACCTTCCTTCTGATTGAAGATGGGCAAACAGGGCCGAGTTATCGGCGGTAACAGGCAGTTTGTACGTAGTACTGATCATCATCTCATTAGCCTAGGACAGTTAAGAAGATTATTTCAGACAGTTACCACAATTTCTCCATCCTTTCGTCATTTAGAAGATCACCAAAAGACTACGTTTCTACTAAGATCATAAAACTCACTCATCCAAAGAAGAAGTCGAACCCCATAATATCTAGCGTAGTAGTAGAAGTATACGTTTTTCTAGACAGTTGTTGTCTGTCTTCTATCATTGTAGTGCACTGAGTTGTATCCTTGATTGTAAAAGCAAGTAGCCTTCGGACATGATTTTGCAAATAAAGTAAAGCAGCCGTGCCAGTGCAGCTTGGTAAAACAAGATGGTGTTCAGGCCGTATCCGAGACTCGTGTAGTTGCAATTTGCCATCTTCTCGATGCATGTTTCAATCAGGTTGGTAAGACACTGAGTAAAGCAGTGACACCTGTGCTGTGCAATATGAACCGGTCAGAATTGCCCTGAGGTAGGTGACAGACGGTCACCGAAACATGGGCTGAATAAAAAAAACTTGGTTGTGTAAAAAGAGTCTCTTTATTACTCAATTTGCCATCTTGTCTCTCGTATCGTCTGTACTTCTTATTTTCTAGTCACCGCCTACAATGTTTCAGTACCGGAAGGCACTGGCATGTGCTTTATTGATGTTGGGGGAAGGTCATTATCCAAACTCAATCTCAGTTTCTTCGATCACTTCACTTTACTTTTACTGCAGTTTTTGGTAATGGCAAACCATGATAACGTCAAGCAGGGTGGCATCATCAGCTGCCAAGTTGACGCAACAAGAGAGCACATTCCGTATGTACTGAGTTGTCATTGGGAATACACCCCTGTTCCTGCAGTTATACTGGGACACACTCAAGGATCGGTGGACTACTAAAGACATTGTCCCACTTGCCAGTAGTTAAGTGTGGTTAGAAAATGTTTGAGCTGCGGCAAACCGGTTCCCACCAGACAGGCTTGATCATGGGATCATCCCGATTGTCTCGGAACGTCCATCATCCAGTCGTTATCAGCCTTTGTTACCGTAGAGAGCTCTAAAAGCTAAGGTTTGATGTATTAGGGTTATTACTGAGGATTAGGAAGACGCATCCAAAGCTCCCACACTTGAGGCTTTATTGACAACATGACAATTTGCTGCTATGCCTTGAGCCCGATTGATAAATGCAGAAGACACACAAGTTATCCATCACCTGGACAGGTCAGGGAAAGACATAAACTTGTGGAATAAAACAACTCTTGAAGAATTTTCAATGACCTGACAATTCCCATTGCCGTCAGTAGGCAGTAAATTCATGCATTTAAAACTGACTATAGAGACTTGCAAAGTTAACGTTATACACAAATACCTCTGAGTGTAACCTATCAACCTTGAATGTTACAATGTTTATTTTTTAAAGGCATCATGTGTATTGTTATTGTGCCTTCATTGTAAATAGTACGTAATTCAGCTTATGGCTGCAATGTACCATTTTAAATAAGTAAACCATTCATTCATTCATTCATTCATTCATTTATTCATTCATTTATTCAACCTTACACGTTCTCGTGACGTCTGTTGCATTTATGGAAATCATTCTTCCATCTGTTGCACAAATGTAAGAGAAAGACTGAGTCTTGTGTTTCCTTTTGGACTTCCAAAAAAAACTGTCTTCACTTATTTGCATTTCTCCTGCAGTCTCTTAGTGTCACTTACGAGAGGTTGAGAATGCTACCTGAAACGTCTGACCGTTTCCAAAATCAGATCCAGTTGCTTGAGTAACTGTTTTTGGCGTATCTTATTACCTGAATGTCTAACATTCACCGACATAATATCAGTATTGCTTGAGGGAATATCCATGGCGAGGTTTTTGGCAAGATCGTCTTTGTGGTCAAATTAAGTAATGGTTCAGACATTCATGAATTATGATATTGAGGTGAGTCATATTTGTCTGCAGAAAAATTAAAACTAAAATATCTATATTTCCTTTTTAGCATTAATTTTATTTTACCTTTCTAGGATTCGTCGTTTGAATGCACCGCTTATTTTATGGCAGTGTCCAATAAACTTAAACTCAGTATCGTAAAAACTCTAGCATTATTTCCCCTGGTCTGTGAGTCTCAAGAAGTGCCCTAGATGTTAGCCTACGCAGTTCTGATTAATGGCATCAGCGCTGCACAGTTATATGGCTGCGGCATCCAATCCTATGTGAAAAAGTAATCTTCTCTCGCTCCTTAATCAGGAAGGTGTTTGTAGTTCCATCGGGGTCATTAGGCTGCCCTCTACCCACTCTGCCGTGGATGAGAATGGTAATTATCTCACTCCTTTGTGTAACAAGAGAAGAACTTTGTCAGTCTCGGCGGCTTTGTGCCAAACTTTATCGAGGTCACTGCTCGGTTTCTGGTAATCCTCGCCTGCCGCGTACTGGGCTGATATTAGCAGGAGGATTGGTGTTTTCTGAGTTAGTGTGAAAGAATGATGCCAGGTGATAACAGTCGTACTTTGTAGCTCAACTGGCATGTGAGAGGAACACCTAATAATTAGATCCGTGTGCACGGATGCGTACTTTACAATACCGGCTTGAAACAGACATTATTGACGGAAGAAACATCAGATTACATGTGATTGTACTAAAGATATCATGTTTTAGCAGTACTGCGCCGCGAATTGCGCTTCTGCCGTACACTTTATAGTCAGGTTATAACATGCTGCAAGATTGCCACAGTTACAATACCCATCAAGTACACTTTCCAACCAACAACCATTTTCAAATTTTGCAATTTCTTTGATTTACCCCTCTTGAACATGCTGTTCATTTTATTAACAGTTCATCTCGTGACAAGGGCTTATTATCAAGGACCCTTTTGAGTACTATTGGATACTTTACGTACTTTACTTTACTGTTAGATGAAGTAACAAAATCAAGTCTACATCCATTCCCTGGGAAGAGGATTAACATAGCAAATTACAGATTTTGACGCTGTCCTGTAGGGAAACCTTGATGTATTTGCAACTCCGCACTACATCTTTCTGGAAAAGGTTGAGCTTAACTCCAACACAAAGACACTGATTACCACACCGTTATGTGATCAGATGGTATTCACACCGTGTCGCTGTGGAGTTGGCGTTTTTAAGACTCATTCTGCGGTGTAGCTGCGGGATTAGTATTCTGTGGCCTGACATTAACGGCGCACGCTGGGCTGTCTGAAAATGGTTCCTTAAAGAGACAAAGACCTTACGAGGATCTGCGCC